AACTCAACAGGCGCTGGTAACACAACAGACTCTGGTAACACAACAGCTCCTGGTAACTCAACAGGCGCTGGTAACACAACAGATCCTGGTAACTCAACAGACTCTGGTAACACAACAGGTCCTGGTAGCTCAACAGACTCTGGTAACTCAACAGGCACTGGTAACTCAACAGACTCTGGTAATATAACAGGTCCTGGTAACTCAACAGGTCCTGGTAATTCCACAGACTCTGGTAACTCAACAGGCACTGGACCGAAAGATGACTCGAAAGCAAATAAAGGATGTGAACATCCTGTTAGTGGAAAAGATTTGGTATTAAAAATACTTGATAAATTATTTAAACTGGAGGAACAAAAAGGATTAGTCGCGCGTATAGGGGGTAAAGGTAATGAAAAAAAGGGCAAGAACGGCAAACAAGCCGGAGATGGAGGATATTCAAGAGACGAACGAGTCAGGGTGGGAAGGGTATTAAGGCTCAGTAAACCCCAGCAAAATTTCCAACTAATGACCCACACATTACAACGGAGAGGAATTCGCCAACGATAAACGATGATTTTTAAGCATTTTTAATATGTATTTTATAAAAGAATATCTTCAATATTTTCAGTTTTAATGTTTCTCAAAATAATAATTCTAATAAATTTTAAAATAAGCAGCATAAAATAATTGTAATTCCCTTGCTTGATAGCCACACGCTAAAAATAGAGCATAAAAGTATGTGGACGAACTTTGTTTGGAACCTTGTTTGTTGGTTTGGCTTACAGCCAAAAATGTTTTAATATAACGGTTGCCAGCTCCTTTAAAAATCATACGCAAAAGAAAACTATCTCAGAATGTTGCCACTCGTTTTAAAATCGTTAACAAAATAATTATAACATAGTGAGTTACAAAAAGCTAAGGAAACTTCAACGAAGTAGCAATTGAAAATATTATTGTGAGAGTTGCCGCCTCTACAAAAATTTTAACTGAATTAAACCATTAATTTAATTTAAATTTTACAATATAATAGCAAACTATAAGGTTTAGGAAGGCCTACAGTTGAAAATATTTCAATATAGAGATTACCTCCACTTCTTGAGAGTCTTAAGAAAAATATAAAAAGATAAACACGCAATAAAATGTTGATACCCACAGTGAAGTTTTTTAAAGAACTGATGAGTAAAAAGTAGTTTTTAAGTAAGATTGCCACTTGCGTAAACATGTTGAAGCAGTACTGTTAAGATAACCAAATTATTACAATATCGATTTAATTGGTTCAGAGTGCGACAATTCTTAGGACTATTTTAAAGTCTATGAGCTTATTAGATCTTACAATAGATAACTCAAACAGCCATGATATTTTAATTTTGCAAATATATTTTTTTCAACGAAAAATCCCTAGAGATTGATTCACGACCTATATACATACATAACCAGACCGTGTACTTGGTTTTGTGTGGTCATTTGGAAAGCAAAAGGTATGCCAGCAATTATCGAACTACTGAGGAGCTCAAACGAAATCGTAAAGACGTCCACTATTATTCGAAAAAAAGCTCGAATAATTTATAAAGGAACAAATTGTATAGCAATATTTCCAATATAAAATCGGTTTTTTAATTTTGCTCAAATTGGTTCAATGCTTCCATACCGGCATAACAGAAGTGAGAAATTTTAAATTTTTCTGCTAATATTGATTTTGCTTCTCCAATTACATTCTGTCATATTCAAATTTCTAAATACATTTTTTTTCAATTTCCATTAAAATATACAATATATAGCATATATTACATAGGTATAGGGTTTACATAAGTCGTTGTTGTGTTGTATTCAAACACTTAATAGAAAAATCTTCAATCTGCAGTACAAGTTCGTGTATACTCATAAAAAAATATGAACATTTTCAAATTTCTATGTTCTACCTATACTGACCTCTATTACATATACAGTGGCTCATCGTATATCTACTAGGGTGTGATTTTTGAATTTATTTCTAAGTAACATAGTATTCTAATGTACTCAGAAACATAACTATTTTTTAAAGGAAAGAGAGAATGATAGTGAGAGATAAATAGAGAGGAGTAAGTGAGAAAAAGAAGGGAGTTTTATTTACTCCAAATTATTATCATTTCACAAAATTTGCTGTTGGAAATAATTACTGAAGGCTTCCAAAGGTTTGACGGAATTAAATTTAATGATATACAATTACATTTAATAATCGCTTAAACTAAAGAGATTTAGGAAAGTTTATAGTTGAACGAGATATTGATAAGGCTTACCACCTGTTTGGCAAAAAACGAAAAAAAAAAAATTATTTGATAGATAAACAGCATATTTGCAACTATGTAATTGAAGTCGCTAAAAAAGCATTGTATTCTTTGAGCATAAAATATTTTATTTATTTGTACATAAGTAGGTATTTCATATTTTGCATGTATTAATTGATACTGATATACAATTGATATGTAAGTATTTGTAACATAAATAGACTTCAATTTCATGTCTGTATATATGTGCTCGTATAAGATATCTAAAGATATTTCCGCCCTACACAATCCGTCATTTTCTTACACATTTCCTAAATTTTTTTGCTTTCATTTTAAATTTATTAAGCTGGTGCAAATTAAAAAACAAAAAAGAGACAAGCTTTCCACTTGAATGAAATTTGGAAAAGTAATTAAATAATTGAAGGAAAAAGGTTGCCTTATGAATAAAGTTCGGAAAAAAATGACTATATATTTTGGTTATCGGTTAGTTTGTGTGTGGCAGCTATATACTATAGTTGTCCTAACTGAACTTTTATGTTCGGACATAATATCTGCCCAATTTCGTGAATATATCTGGTCAAATAAAAAAAAAGTTTTCGATACAAGGACTTTCAGTTTGTATGGCGGCTATAAAAAAAAATTTTCCAAACAAGAACTTGGGTTCGATCGGTCAGTTGTATGGCAACAAGCTTTTTAATGAGAAAGGGACGTCTGTAAAATTCCAAACCAATATCTGATAGACTAGTTCGCGTATATACAGACGGACAGACAGACGGACGTGGCTAAATCGACTCAGCTCGTCACACTGATCATTTATGGTATACTTTATACGGTCTCCCTTTGCAGGGTATAAAAATGGAACATAGAAAGTATCGAAAGTGAATAAAATATTACAAAAGTTTTTAACTCTTTAAAAACGCCAACTATTTTTTGATATATTTGCCACCTGGCATAAGCGCGATTCGTTTGAAAAGAAATATAAAAACAAAGAGAAACCGTGATTATGAAATGTGATTTCATGAAAAAGTATTAGCAGTATGAAACTATATTGTGCATAAATATTTTGCGCACGTGTTAATAAAAATATATAAAAATATTGTTACTATTGATAAACAATTAACAAATTAAAAATAGTTAAATAAGTATTTTTATACAATTATTTTTATTAATAAGAGTGATTAATACTTTCTCTGGTCTCATTTCCTTCGTAATGTACCATACTTTGGCGTAATTTTCTATTTGATCGTTTGTTATAAGAAATTTGTATACATTTTTAATCAGGTATATATGTATGTAAAATTAGGTACTCATATATTTATAGTACATAAGTTGAGATAATTGCTGAAATTTTCGTTGTTCTGTTGCTCCATCGTTACCGGTCATCTTCCTTATTATGCTGTCTCTTAATAATTTAAGTGCGTCCTGGTGCACTGGGTACATATTTTTCGGATGGCTGATATTGCCACTGAGCGCAAATGGTATCCTGTTCCGTTTTATTATAACCGGCCCTACGAGAAATGAAAGAGTATGAAACGAATGATAATTTAGGAAGTTCATATGCTTTTATAAGTAATTATTTGATCTAACGGGAGCCGAGTCGCTTGTTCTATGATATGTATGCACCCGTCGTCATTGAGAAGCAGCTGAATACCGCGTACTATCTTATCTTAACTATCTTAACTTGAATATGATCACTAGTAAACTCCGACTATCATGTTGATAAAAATCGACCTCGTCTTCTTTACAAGCGAGTAAAAGGTTACGCAAGCTCCACTAGCATCCCTTGAAGGTTAACGATTACATCCTTAATAAGAGATAAGGTTCGCGAATTTATATGCCCCTAAAAGTCAGTCTGTGATTACAACCCCATATAAGGTTTCGACATCGTCCATTGTAAATAGAAACCAAATCATACAAAGTTTCATACAGACATTTATTGAAAACTCTTTAGTTGAACTGAATATATGTAGGTATGTTATACCTTACGGCGGAGAAATATAATATATTTGAATTCACTGAATATCCATTTGACGTTTTCAAATTCAGTTAGGGCTAATCGTTTAGTGGAAGTTTCTATAATCTTCATTTAGGACGGATTCAGGGATTAAATGGGTGTACTATTAATATTGCAATATCCACTCGGAAACCAAAGTTGAATAAAAAAATTGTTATGTTTTGAGTTTAGTAAACTCTGATGTTTATAAATATGGCCTACACATGGGTTATTCATGAGGAGAAGGCCTTTGAACGCTTGGTGTTGCTTAAAGAAAGACCAGAAAATCATAAAAAACCTACATCAGCTGTAATCCTAACCTAGTTTTCGCCTGTTCGTAAAGTTTTTTCAACTCTAATTTTTCCAATTTCTCAGTGTCTTATTGCTGCACGACCTGAATAGTTACAGAGAAAGTGTTTCATTGTTTGCTCAATGTCACCTTCGAAACAGCTGGAGGACGATATTTAGCATGCGTACCCATTCCGCGTTGCATGTTCGATTGGCCACTGGCTTGGAGTTGATGCTTAGTTGCATAGTTGAATGAAAAATTTCAACTGATCTTTTCATCATAATTTTGGTATTTCTGCTTCAGATGTGTCAGCAGGAACCTCCTTGCTTGCCGATTCGTTTACTCTCTCTTTCATTTCGATACTCTTGTGTCCGAAAGACTAGATGAGAGCGACAGCTATTGAAGCTTACGAATGTGGAACTGATCGCTGATGATACAAGGAGTGCATGAAGGTTAAGTTCAGTCCAGTATGATAGAAGAATTAAACAAAAGAGTAATTTATAAACTTTTATTAAATAATAATGTTGCTGTAAGGTTGACAAATAATATTCTTTAATACTGCTTTCATTTGAAACTAAAAATATAAGCCTTAAACTAAAAATATGAAATTAGAAATTATGAATGTTTACATAAGTTGCTTAACAAAGCACTCTTGGACTTCTGCAAATAAATAAGAAAAATAATAATTGCGCAACATAAATCAGTCTTTCAGTGTATCTTCAATAATTCCAAAAATTATTCGGCGAGACATTATTTCTTTGATTATAAAAATAGCTGGAACCTGGATATGGACGATCATAGTAATACCCACGTTCCTCTTCAGAGCGCTTATTACCATTGCCTGTGGGTAGTTCGGAACTAACGCGAGAATTAAAAGTGTCCCACAGCACACGCGGACGCTGCACAATTTCGCGCAAAATATTCACTGCGGCCAAACCCACCGAGGCGACTTTTACGCCCAAACGCTTGGTGAGTGAATTGAAAGTCTGCCTTTCAGCCAGCCCGCTGTCGGAGCGCAACGCGCGACCGTAGTATTCTGGATAAGAGTAAAACTTTGGCGACCAGCCATAGGGGTGTGACAGAATTTTCTCTATAACATTGCCTGCATTGGGCGGCAAATATAGATCCGCCTGGCGGAATGTAATATCACAGCGATTTGTACGATAAAAGAAATCTTCAAACCTTTGATGTGCCGAGCACGGACTGCGCTCTTGGAAGCAAGTGACCTGTACCACGTTGTAGAATATCGCGCCGAGCGTGTTAGCCGTTTCTGCATTGTAAATGAGAAAGTATGAAGATTTACAGTTATTAACATAAAAACTACTTTCAACTACCTGTATTGAGTGATTGCAAACATTTGCGCAGACGCGCATCGCAGTCGCAATGTGAACGCGTAAAAGTGCCAGTATTGCAGAGACCACGCCGACATTCGCCCACATTTAATACATTCGGACAGTGATCGTGTTCGCGACAGCAGCGATCTTCGGCGATATGCGGACCCAAGTCATTATAATCGTCAGCGGTGGTGCCTGCGGTGCGCATATATAGTTCAACTTCATCTGTATGTGTGTGAGTAAAGCTAGCACTCACCTGGTCCACACCATTTCGTGCCGGGATAGATAAAACCCAAGCCACCGCGAAACTCGCGCCCATACGAGCCCGATTTTAAACAGACCTCCTCCAGCTCCATAACCGATTCGCGCGGTACCTGTCGGATGCGTCTGGGATCCGATTGCAGCAGCATGCGTTGGATATCACCACTAGCAAATAGTTTATACAATTAAGGTTCATTACTCCTAGGAAAATAACTCACCGATCAGTGTGCATTTTACAGAAAGGATGGCGCGAGGAAAGCTCTACCATAACTGACATAGCATTATCAGAGATCAACACAGCGGAGCTACTGACACTATTAACAAATATTATCACTACCAGCGCAACCGTCAGAACAAGTATGAAGAGCTTCTTTGACATGCTGCAAAGGAGAAAGAAGATTTTTTGGTTATTGAAAAAGTTAACACAGCACCAATTTCCTCTAAATGGATGGAAGTGACACTTTACGGGTTGTTCAGGACAAAACTTCTTATTTAGATCTTCAACACCACTTAATGAAGTGAGTCGGAGAATATTATATTATATAAAAATGTATATCAGAACAGTTAGGATTAATAAAACGTCGAACAAATCTAAGGCAATGTAAGCCCAGCAGTGAAAACAACCGTTTTGCAATAGCGGTAAGAGATTGTAATATCAATGCGGAATTCGATGGAATCAAAAACTCATCCATCAATAACAACAATTTCAAAACAGAAAAGACTACAAGTATAAGGCTTCATCTCATAGACCTTATAGAAAGTATACTTTTGTTTTTCTTGAACGTTTCGGAAATATTTAATGCCAATACATACATATATAATATGCCATAGTAGTACAGAAATGTTGGGCAAACTATTTATCTCCCTTCTAAATTCCTTTAAGAAACATTTTTTTTTTACAACTCCTAACTGAAAAGGATGATTCAATATAAATTGATCTCTAACAAAACTAGTTTGGGGGTAATTGCGATTAACTTTTGCCTAATTCATATCTATGGAGAGTAGTAGTCGGTGTGCATTGTCAAATTGAAGCAAATTAGACTCAACAAAGCAAGCGACTTCTTCAGTGGCACTAGGTTAATGACCATGAAAGTATTATTTTTACAGATGAAAAAATGTTCACTGTTAAAAAAGTTTTACATAAGCAAAAATGTTTTAAAGCGATAAAATCTTCCAAAAATGCCAAAAATGTTATTCAAAGAATTCAGCGTAGTCACCATCCAGCTGCTGTAATGGTTTGTTGGAGAGTCTCCTGTAAAGGCGTTAAACCTCGTCACTTCGATGAAAAAATGGGTTATACTGGGATAAAAGTGTACCAGCAGGAAATTTTAGAAGGCGCAGTAAAGCAGTTAAACAAACTGTCTTCGATGGAGAGCATTGGATTTTCCAGCAAGAGAGCTGCAGATGATTGTCCGCCTGGATCACCTCAGATTTGAGTCTAGTTTACTACCGTTTGTGGTCAGAGCTGGAGAAAATGGCTTATCGAATTTTCAGAGTCTCAAAAAATCTTTTGTTCGAGCACCGTCGTCAATACCAATAGAAACTTTGCGTGCTGCTTTTGACCAATGGCAAAGCATTTGAGGGCTCGTGAGCAAACGGAGACTTTTTCGTATAAAGTTTTGTACATCGCTCATTCAATACATATTTTATAAAATAAATGTTTTATAACGGCCTAAAATTGTAACAGAACTTATGGCAGGACTAAGGACCACTTACTGCCTGCGACAAAGAGCGTGTGAGCGTTATAAAACATTTATTTCATATATATATACATATATATATATTTCTTGACCTGAAGAATAATTACAACTGCTGGGAATAAAAAACCAATAGCCAGTCGAAAGTTGTAAATCAAAAACGTATACAAGTTATCTACATATGTAAGTATATATACATATTTATATGTATATACCATATATAATATTATATATATACAAAAGCTTAATACTCATGCGTGATCTTAAAAAAGAACTGCCAGTCGAGTAGCTACTTAAACGGCTAATAAAAAAATTTAGCCAATAACACGAACTAACTAACAGCGATAATATTTTATATGCTGCAAAAATATAAACTAAAAGAAGAATCAACAACATAAACTCGTTTACAATTGACTAGTAAAAAAGATTAAGGGCATATTAGTTTCTTGAATTTTACGGATTTTTCTTTTACACCTTATTAAAGTGTAGTTAAGCAAGTATGTAAGCATTTACAAGAACTCATTGGGCTAAATATCAATGCAATTATTAATACCCTGTAGGAAATGTGCTTAGTCATTGATACCAAAGATCTTATAACATATAGAGTGAAATATCTTTGGTCGCACTAAAAAATATTAAACAGCTGCAACGAAAAAGTGTAGCGCAACAAAATTTCGTCACGCTTTTAGCGTATGTATCGACAAATTTGTGAAGGCTCTGGCGGTTTGAATAAATTTGGTAAATTATTCCGTGTAATACTCGGGCGTTTTGAAATAAAACTAATTAAAAAGTTGCCACATATTGCGAAATCGTACGTGAAAAATGGTTAAAGAAAAGAAAATAAGTCTACAAACTGCTAAGAAAAATTAAATATCGAAACTATTTATTGTGGAGCGTTGCCACCAGTTTAAAATTTAAATTTAATAAAACTGATGGGACAGATATAAAATAATAATTTTAAAACATAGATATAAATTTAAATGATGATAGATACTAATCTAAAAGGGCAGGAAATCGTTCTTTCGGTAGTACTTTTGAGAAGGATTGCCAACATTTTGAAAACTTTAATGCAATAGACTTGTTGAGATATGAAAACACTGGAAGCGTGGGCATAAAACAACAGATAAATAAGAAGGTATAAGGTTAAAAAATAAACTGATAAAGTTGTTATAATTTCACTAGATATATGTACATTAAACAAAAAAAAAAAATTATGAATTGATTGAAAATTTTAAATAAAGCAAGAAAAAATGTTAACTTCGGTTGCTCCGAAATCCCTTTACAAATGCAAAATAGTTAATGCAAAATAGTAGTTACTAATATTCCTTACACGAATTTTTCGATTGTGCAGTTTGTATGGCAGTTACATATGTATATGCTATAATATTCTGACATCGGCGGTTACGACAAATGAACAACTTCTTGTGGAAAAAAGGGCGTGTATAAAATTTCCCATCGATAGCTGAATAACTAAGGGACTAATTTGCGAAGATAAAGACAGACAGACGGACAGACATGGCTAAATCGACTCAGCTCATCAGGTTGATAATTATATATCTATATATTTTATAGGGTTTCAGATATTTCCTTTGGAGTGTTTCAAACTTCGTGACAAACTTAATATACCCTATTCAGGGTATACAAATTATAAGTGTACAAAACTGAATAGGTCCAAGAAAGAAAAATATAATTAGGTGATGGTTGCCACCTGCTTAAAAACTATAATTAAAGAAGTTTCCAATGGCTTATCCTTCCATTGATCGCTTGTAAGAACACCCTCCTCATACTATTAAATCTCAACAGGGCCTATTTACTCATAAACAAGTTTGTGTGCCGTCTTCATTATACAAGTAGTTACTATTATTACTTGCTATTTTATTGACCGTTAAGCTGTTGGCCAATTCTGCTGGAGGTCATTACCGTTCTTTTTACTAAATTTACCTTGTTAAAATATATCTTGTTTTTGTAAGCTACACTTTTTATTGCATTCAACGCGCTAGAGTTATTATTAATGATTCATATTTTTAGGTCATCACTTATACTACTTACCATATGAGGTATACGTTTGAAGTAATATTAAAGTGAGAAATTTGTTTGGTGTTGCCATATTTTGAAAAATTTATTTAATAAAATTTGTAAGATAGAAGAATCTATCTAATATGGGTATCAAACTGAAGAGTTTAAAAATCTTTACTGCTCAAAAATATTCCAGAGTTGCCAATTGTTTAAAATCGTTTCTTGTGTTATAAGCTGTACAAGTCTCACTTTAGGATCGACCAGTTAACCTAACCTAACCTAACTTATTATATGTAGAGAGAGATATTGGAGCATAGATCTATTAAATGAAATCAAAATCCACTTTCGACTTGATTTTACAATTTTTAATATTTTTAATTCTATTTTTTAAAATAAGAATAAAATTTATAAAAAATTTTAAACTGCAAACCACTGTAAAAGAATTCTGATGAGCCACAGAAAACTGGTTTCAGGATGTAGTTATACAGGTTGTTTGAAAAGTTTCTGCGCTCGAAATGAAAAAATACCGTTTTTGGGCAAAATATATTTTTTTATTCAATATAATCTTCCTTAACTTCAATACACTTATTCCAATGATAATTTTATGCCATCCCTATAATGACTTTCCGGAAGCTCTGCAAAATACTCGGCTGTAATAGCTTCTTCATTCCGCGAAAACGCCTTTCCACGAAGGAATTGTTTTAGATTTCTGAGGTAGTAGTTGCTGAGAGCCAAATCTGGTAAATACGGCGAATGCTCAAGCATTTTGTATTTTAATTCGTTGAAATTTATCATTGCTAAGCCCTTTTGTGAGCAGGTGCATTGTCTTGATGAAAAATGATATTTAGTCAGGTCTTTTTTCACGCATTTTTTAATTCAACTGATCCAAAAGGCAGAAATTATATTTAGAGTTGATTTTTTTCACCTTTCTGCTGATAATCAATCAACAAAATTCCTTTTGCATCCCAAAAAACTGATGCCATAACCTTCTTTGCTGATCGTTGTGACTTCACCAGTTTTGGAGCTGAACAGCCAGCTTCAGTCCACTGTAAACGTTCTTGTTTCAATTTAGGATCATGGTGGTAGATTCAAGTTTCATTCATAGTTATAAAACGACGCAAGATCTTGGTTTTATTCTGATTACAATGCTCCAAATTATGCTGAGAAATTTGTTTTCGATTTTGTCGAATTGTTAACGTGTGCGGCACTAACTTTCCAAATAGCTGTTTCATATGAAATTCTCCATATAAAATACGTATGTAATACTCATTCGTCTAAAATGCCTATGGCATTAGCAATTTCACGTTTAGTCAAACTTGGATCTTCACTAACAATATTATGAACTGCGGTTTTTGGTCGCCCTTCGCGTGGATCGTCTTCAATCCTAATACGACCACGTTATAATTCACCAGCCCAAAATTCAATGGTGAGTTTTGAAAGTGACGACTCCTTATACACTTCTAACAATTGTTCATAAATTTCCAAAGAATCCAATCACTGCGCGATATTCGATTTTCGCCATATTGAAAAAAAATACTCTGACACGTCAACTTCAAATGGCTTGTAAACAAAGAATTTATTGACAGAATGAGTTGTAAAATTGCATGTGTTCTCACGACAAATGTACCAACTTGAGAAAAGAAAAATTGGAGCTAGCAGTGCTATTT